TTGAGAGGCCTTGTCCTGGGGAGATGAATGTCAACCTGGCGGCCCTGACCCTCCTGTTCCCTCCCGGCAGGCCCGAGAGCTAGGCCAGAGCCTGGCCCAGGAAGTGAAAGCAGCCACTGAGCGGCTGAGTCAAGGGAGCCGGGATGGGGTGGAGGCACATCGGCTATCCAAGGACATAGGACGACTCATTGAAGTGAGGCCACGCCTACCGTGGAGCTGTTCCCCAACCTCTCCTGGCCCTACTTCCCCCTGCCCCCATGCCTCCCTGGACCCCTCCAGCCTCTCCCCAGCTCTCCGGTTGGGCTCCAGCTGGCCCAGATATTTGTCTGCAGGGTGGGTGGCTTCCCTGGCCCTGAGGGTCCCTACCTCAGAGACTATGGCTCAGGAAGGGCAGGGGTGATGCCCTGCTTCTGGCCATAGGCTGTGGATACTTCTGTGACACCCCAGTGGCAGCGGCGGGAGCTGCTGGCCACACTGAAAATACTGCAGCGGCGTGCCAACACTGCCATCCGTAAGCTGGAGATGGGGCAGGTGAGAGGAGGTTTCACTGTATCCTTTTGCCTAGAGATGCTCCAGCACATATGCTGAGAAGTCTCAAGGACTGGGGCATGGGGGTGAGTCAGAGGCTGTGCAAGGACATGGGGTCGGGGTGGTGGCAGCTTCTTCCTTCTGCCAGCTGGGAACCGTCACCCAGGCCATTCCCCTACTTCTCTCTCGGTCAAACTGTGTTTCTCCCCCAACTCCCAAGTCTGGCTCAGACCTCTCTCCCCACCCCGGGAAGCCTGCTGACTTGATTAGTGCCATTCAGCCCTGATTGCACCTTCACTGTGGATCCCCCTTCCTCCCGCCCACTCCTGGTCCATCTGTACTCTGACCTTCCTCCTTTCACCTTCAGCAACCTATTTGTAGGGGCCTGGAGCTATGATGAAAGGGAAGTGGCAAGGGAGGTGAGGAAGAACACATGTGGGACCCAAAAAGGAGGCCACCCTAGGCAGAGTCCCTGCCACCTCTGCTTAGACCTGATGACCTTTGGGGTGGGTGGGGGATTGCTCAACTGGGCCTCAGTTCAGGAGTGGCAGATAATTGGAAACCTGCCTCCCAGCCTGACCCCTCTGCTGGTCCTTCCTGCCCCATAGGCTGCAAAGAAAACCCAGGAGCTGCTGGAGCGGCACTCGAAGGGGCCTCTGATTGTGGACACAGTCTCTGCTGAGTCCCTCTCAGTGAGTGCTGGCCAAGCGGGGCTGTCCCAGGGTCTGGGGAAGGCACAGGCCTGACCAGGGGGTAGGTGGGGTCTGGGAAGCTATGGGCTCACCATCTGCCTTTCATGGCCCAGGTGCTGGTGAAGGTCGTACGGCAGCTGTGTGAGCAGGCCCCCGATACGTCTGTGCTCCTACTCAGCTCCCAGCCTGTGGGGAAGGTGTTGTGTGCCTGTCGGGTGGCCCAGGTGAGGGAAGTGGTAGAGTAGCCCACCACCCCATTACTACCCATCCTGGTCTGGCTGTCTGATTTTACACCTTTAATTCTCCCAAAGGGGCCAAGGCTGGGTGGAGGTATCTGTGAGCATATTCCAGGGCAGGGATAGGGGAATCTCCTTGTTCCTAAAAACAACCGTCCCCACCCCAGAAAGCACCAAGAGATTCCTTAATTACCAACCCCTCCCAGGCCTCACATCCCTTGTAAACAAGTAGCAGATGTTCACGTTCATAAACCTCCCCACACACATTTCCAGCCCAATCCTTCTGCTTGTCAGCCAACCCCCCAACCATGTGCTCAGCTGGGAAGCGGGTGCTGATCACCTTCAACTCCGCTGTTGAGGGTACCTTGAGTGGATGCTAGCAGGGAGGGCCACTCTGCATCACTTCCCCTTCTGATTCTGTTCCTAGGGTGCCACGTCCACCTTCACAGCCGAGGCCTGGGCACTGGCAGTGTGCAGCCACATGGGGGGCAAGGCCTGGGGCTCAAGAGAGGTGGCCCAAGGCATCGGAAGCACTGCTGACCTGGAAGCCGCCCTCAGCACAGCCCGAGCCTATGCCCTCAACCAGCTCTGACCCAGGCCCACCAAGGGACCCGCATGGACTAAAGGCAAGTGCCAGGAGCCCTGAAGGAGCCAGTAGAACTCCCCACAGGCTGAAGCAAGGACTAGAAACTGGAGGCCAGCAGCTGAGCCGAAGACCACGTGGACCAGGCCCTGCATGACGCAAGAAGATACGGGCTAGGGAAGAAGTGGGCCCAGAGACACACACCCCCTTGGTGAATGAGAAGACATATGGTTGTGATTGCACATTAGAAATTATTGCAAAGAGGATAGGAAGCTCCAGAAGGTTCTATTACTTTGGAAAAACAACAGTGTTTCCCCTCCCAGCAACCTGGTATGGGTGCCATAACACCAGTCTGAACTCACACTATCCGAAAGGCCACCCAGGATCCAAATCGGGCCATCCTCATTGCCATGAGTGCTCAGACAGGCTCTGCATGCCTGGCAATGGCGGGCACCGACAAAAGGCTCCCTGGCTACTGTGAAGATACAGAATCATCCTGTGAAGATCATTTCAGCAGCACAGATCCTCTTTACTATCACTTCTTTCATTAACAGTGACCTAGCCGGGTGCGGTGGCTCATGCCTGTAATCCCAGCACTTTGGGAGGCCGAGGCAGGTGGATCACCAGGTCAAGAGATCGAGACCATCCTGGTCAACATGGTGAAACCCCGTCTCTACTAAAAATACAAAAAAATTAGCTGGGCATGGTGGCACGTGCCTGTAATCCCAGCTACTCAGGAGGCTGAGGCAGGAGAATTGTCTGAACCCAGGAGGCGGAGGTTGCGGTGAGCCGAGATTGCGCCATTGCACTCCAGCCTGGGTAACAAGAGCGAAACTCTGTCTCAAAAAAAAAAAAAACAGTGACTTTGGCCAGGCGCGATGTCTCACACCTGTAATCCCAAGGGCCAGGGCGGGTGGATTTCCTGAGCTCAGGAGTTTGAAACCAGCCTGGGCAACACAGTGAAACCCCATCTCTACCAAAATACAAAAAATTAGCTGGGCGTGGAACTACAGCCATGTGTCTGTAGTTCAGCTACTCAAGAGGCTGAGGCAGGAGAATTGCTTGAACCCAGGAGGCAGAGGTTGCAGTGAGTTGAGATCACGCCACTGCACTCCAGCGTGGACAACAGAGCATGACTGTCAGAAAAAAAAAAAAAAAAAGAAAACCTCTAAATTTGGCCCTGCTGATTTGTTGACAACTTGAGCAACTGAGAATGTTTTGAGCATTAAACTAACGATTCCTTCCTTCATGGAGTCTGCTTCTTATGGAGGAAACAGGCAATAAAGCGAAAGACAAGGGTCAGGCTTTGTGGCTCACAACTATAATCTTGACATTTTGGGAGGCTGAGATCAGAGGATCGCTTGAGGCCAGAAGTGCTAGAACACTCTGCACAAACAGCAAGACCCTGTCTCTAAAAAAGAAAAGTATGATCTTTCTGCCTCAGCCTCCCAAGTAGCTGAGATTACCCACACCTTAGTCCCAGCTACTTGGGAGGCTGAGGGGGAAAATCACTTTAGCCCAGGAGTTCAAGGCGGCAGTGAGCTATGATTGCACCACTGCACTCCAGCCTGGGCAACAGAGTGAGACCTTGCATCAGACGGTGATGAGGTCTGGGGGGGAAAATACAGATTGGGGATGAGGAGTGTGGAGGGTGGTACCTCCGTCACCCAGAGGCAGCATGTGAGCAGGGAACTGGGAGGTAAGAGTGTGCGCCATGTGGAAATCTAAGGGAAAAGCATTCCAGGCTGAGGGAACAGCCAACTCGGAGACTGTGAGCCGACCAGTGCCACTGAGCAGTGAGCTGGGATAGGAGCCGGTGATGAGGTTGGAGTGCGGGGTCAGACAAGCAATATGCTGATTAAAACAAGTACAGCACCTGCCTTAAGCCTGAGCTGAAGCTGAAAATTGGCAGCTCAAAGCAAGAGGAAGCCAAGAGATGGAGGGGAGTCCTCCTTCCCTACCAGAATGAGTCCACCTCAGACAGCCAGACGTTGGACCTCTGCCTCAGTTCCTAGATCTCTGTTGCTAGATGCAGGAAAAGGCCTCAGGAGACCCATCTTCAAATCGAGAGCTCCCTGGCTACCAAGTTCTGTCTAGTAAAAATTATTCGAGCAGCGTGGGCCTGCCTGGCATCATTTTCTGCAGTTTCCCATTCTAATTAAGGCACCGATTTGCTGGTAAGGCACCGGTGAGGGCTTGAAGGGACCCAGTCCGGGTCCCTGGCCCCTCACTGCTTGCAAAGCTTTGCCTCAGCATCCTGGCCACTGGAGCAGTAGCCACTGTTCGGCAGTGCTTACCACAGGCCCAGCTCCAAGCTCCGCGGGCACCAAGATGAGTTGTAGCACCCCTGATTTATTGATGAGTTAACAGAGCTTCGAGGTATTCCTCCAGGGTAACCAACTAATAGTCCTCAGCAGAACTGAAATCAAAGCTACCCTTTGAAACCCCCACCTCCTTGGCTGCCTCCCCCTTCCTGAAAGCCAGTTTCTTTTTTTTTACTAGCCATCTCTCTGAAGTCTGTCCCTCTTGCCCTCCAAGAGATCAGGGGCCCCCACAACATCCGTCCACCCTCATCTTCCACAGACGCTTTTCCTGGACCAACTCCCCACCTCCAGCTCCTTATCCATTGCCACACAAAAGCTACGGAGAGAGCACAAGCACTCCAGACCAGCAGCCCTGCCCCGGGGTCTCCCACCTCCAGCCCCCTTAGAAAGCCCACCCGTTCCTAGACACTAGCCACGGAAGCACAGGGCGTAGCGCAAGGCCACAGTCCCACGACCCCCAAAACGGCCCCTTCCACTGAACCTTCCCCAGGCAGGGCCTGGCCGCCCTGCGCGCGAATGAGCCGCGTGCGGGGGGCGCAGCGGCAGCCGATGAGGCAGCAGCGCCCCCTCCTCCGAGGTGCGGCGCGCACGCCCTCCCCGCCTGGCCCGCCCCTAGCGACGCGGGGCGTCCCTAACAACAGCGACCAGCACCTGCTCGCGGGACTTTGCGTGAGGCCAGCGCCCGGGCTCCCGGAGCGGGTGAGGCGACCTCCGGGAGTGGGGACACCCAGCCCTGGTCTCCCTTATCGGGGTTCCCCCAGGCCGGCAGGGCCTCGGAGCCGCTCCAGCGTCCTTGGTCACACCGGCCCGAAGCTTGCAGGCGGCCATTGCCTGGGTTCCGTTTCCCGGGGCGGGGAAGAGCCAATCCATACCCACAGAAGACCCCACGCTCTCCACGCCGGGACGCCTCGCGCCTCCTCACCACCACAGTCACTGTCTGCAAACCGTGTGGCCCGGGGCTGGGGATCCGAGTGAGGCAGGGGAAGGATCGTGGGAAGGAAGAGGGGGAAAGTGGGGCATCGGTAGGGCGTGGTGGAGAGTGGTCCTAAGCCCTGGGGCCCCAGGCCTCTCTGAAAGGCGGTCCCGGTTCCCAGCACTCGAGGGCTGCAGTCCCTCCCGCGGGTCCAGAAGCTTCCGCATCTCCCTCCCTCCCACAGCACTGCCGGTTTCCCTGGGTTGCCAAGGAGAAGCCAGCGCCTCTACACCCCAGGTAGGAGGGGGGAGGGACCCCGTGGCCTTCGGAGCTGAGCTTCCCTGCTGGGGCGTCTGAGCTGAAGGTAGGGAGGAGGAGTGGGGAGGAGAGAGGCTGGAGTCCCTTTTGAGACAGCAGACCCCTCAGTGGACAGGAGTTGGGAGGAGGCCAGCACAGGGACTGTGGTCAGTGAACAGGCGGTCTCACCTAGCCCAAGTCCAAGCACTTGTCGAGGCTCTGTCGGAGAAACTTTTTTGTCCTTCCACAAATGGAATTCCCAACTTGGGAGTGACTTGCCCCAAAGTAAGACACGGTGGGCATGAAAGAGATGGAGGCGGGTGTACACAAAAGCCCAGAGCCCTGAGGACAGAGGAGGCTCTCCTGCGGGGATCTGGGGTGGGAGCAGCTGAGAAGGCAGGCAGAGCAGTGGGTGCAGAGCCAGCTCCTGGGGAGGTATCCCAGGCACAGAGGCGCTGTCGTCCCAAAGAGGGCTGGGTGTCTCCATTTTTTGGCTAAGAGGAAGGAAGGAGTGGACAGTTGAGGACCAGGACTGTGATGCACAAGAAGGTGATGCTCCCCTGCACCATCTTCCTCGTGTTCCCATTAGGGCGGGATAAGGTACTCCTACCCAGAGGGGTTAGATTTATCTGGGGACGGGGGAAGGATGGAGAAGGCCCAAGACTTCCTGTGGAGGGAATGTGCCGGGGCGGGGGAGCGCCACTCTGCAGCAGCACTCTGTTGGGCTCCTTGGGCCCTCTAAAACATGCAGGCAATGGTCCAGCCTTGCGGAAGACTCCTGTGCCCAGCAGTGAACTGGGCAAGGGAGCCTGAACTATTTAGGTCAGCACCAAGGGGGTAACCCTGGGCTCCATGCTGGTGAACAAGAGATCTCATGAGCTGGAGAAAGTGAGAGACCCACTGGGAAGTGCTGTGAGTGACTGAATTGGGAGCAATTTATAAGCAACCCCAGCATCTGTCTCATGGAAGTAAGAGAGAGCATTAGACAGACACAAACTAAAACCTCAGTTTCTCCATTTACTAGCTAGTGACATTTACTAAGTTATTTAAGCTTTCTAAGTTTCAGTTTCCTCATTTGTGAAATGGGGACAATAGCGTTAAATAATAATCCTCAATAATACATTTGAGAATTTGATAAAATTGCGTTAGTAAGGCATCTAGCACCTTCATTATAACTTCTAACATGCATCTTGAGTGCTGGCTCTGGGCCCAGCACTATATGAAATGGCTCACACACATTAGCTCCTTAAGCCTCTGCGTACTATGAAGTACTGTCTCCATGTTATAGATGAAGAAACTGAGGCAAGCGGGGACCCGCCCGCGGTTGCGCAGATAGTGTGGGGGCACGGTAGAGATTTGACTTGAGGCAGCACAAGTCCTGAGTACTTAGCCAGCTGCTGTCCTGCCTCCTGCTATGCACATGCTATTGAAGGCCTAGAGCTCTCAGTAAATCGTAGCTATATATAGCCAAGGGTATGGTTCCCAGAACACCTGTCCACCAGATTCAAGCCATCAGAAATGAGGACAACCCTGGCCAAACTGGAGCATCTTGTCACTTTCTATTACCTGTGTTGAGGCATGGAGAGAGTGGTCCTCCACACCCTTTGAGTTATGGCCTGGTGTGGACATTGTTCCCTGTATGTGATTTCAGGACCCTGGACCCTGTTCCTGAGGATACAGAGTAGGGGCCCAGGGGAGGAGAACTGGCCTTTCCCTAGGGACTGTGGTCCCAGGTTAGAGACACAGCCATGTGAAGCCAAACAGGCTTGTGAGGCCCCAAGAGAAGTGAAAGCCAAACAGGCCCCAGAGAAGTGAAAGTCCACATGTGTCCCACTCTCCCATTTTCCCCCTCTGAGAGCACAGCACACCCTTGGATGGGGACACCAGATGGTGGCACAAGATGTACTTGCTCCTGGTGGCACTGACCTCTCTGGAACATCAGGATTCCTGCCCTGGAGGACTGGAGTCTTGAACACGCTCCTAGTCTTCAAACTCTGGGATTCTCTGACTGACCCAACAGGCTTCCCAAGGAAAGAAAGCTCCAGAGAGGAAGGTGACCCTTCAGCCACCTCCAGGACTGCCCTCTGTGGGTGCCTGGGGACTATGTGCCCCAGGCCCCCAGCTGTTGGTTATCCACCCATCCCTCCAGGCTCCCAGGGAAGATAGTGCCACCTACTAGCATTCTCAGCTGCAGGCTGGTGACTGCCAGGCCAGACTAAGGCCAACCTGTGAAGCAGGCAGAGCTCTCTCAGCCTCCTGTCTTCTACTGCGCCCACTCCCCACCTCTCCTCTCCATGGTTGTTCCCCTGGCCTCCTTTTTTCCCCTCCCTCCCTCCCTTCCTTTCTTCCTTTCTTTTCTTTCTTTCCTTTCGAGATGGAGTTTTGCTTTTCTTGCCCAGGCTGGAGTGCAGTGGCACAATCTCAGCTCACTGCAATCTCTGCCTCCCAGGTTCAAGCAATTCTCCTGCCTCAGCCTCCTGAGTAGCTGGGATTACAGGCATACCACCACACCTGGCTAATTTTCGTATATTTAGTAGAGACGAGGGTTTCACCATGTTGTTCAGGCTGTTCTCGAACTCCTGACCTCAGGTGATCCCCCCACCTGGGCCTCCCAAAGTGCTGCAATTACAGGCATGAGCCACCACACCTGGCCTACCTTGCCCCCTTTCTAACTTTGCTTTTTGTATCTGAAACTCATTCACACTAAGATGTAGAATATATATCTATATTCTAGAATATAGATATATATTCTACACCTTAGTGCAAATTACATATATAATATACATGACTATATATTATATATGAGAATTATATATTATATATAATTAATATTAATATCTAATATATAGTCATGTGTATTATATACGTAATTTCTGCACACTTAAACTGTCAGAAACAATATATTACAACTTCTACTTTTTTTTTTTTTTTCTGAGGTGGAGTCTCAGTCTGTCACTCAGGCTGGAGTGCAGTGGCCCAATCTCGGCTCACTGCAACCTCCGCCTCCAAGGTTCAAGTCATTCTCCTACCTCAGCCTCCCAAGTAGCTGGGATTATAGGTGTCCACCACAATGCCCAGCTAATTTTTGCATTTTTAGTAGAGATGGGGTTTCACCATGTTGGTCAGGCTGGTCTCGAACTCCTGACCTCAGGTGATCCACCCACTCCGGCCTCCCAAAATGCTGGGATTATAGGCGTGAGCCACTACACCCAGCCTACAACTTCGACTTTTTTAAAAGTTTGCTACATTAGGCCAGGCACAGTGGCTCACGCCTATAATGCCAGCACTTTGAGAGGTTGAGGCAGGCGGATTACCTGAGGTCAGGAGTTCGAGGCCAGCCTGACCAACATGGAGAAACCTCGTCTCTACTAAAAACACAAAATTAGCCAGGCGTGGTGGCACATGCCTGTAATCCCAGCTACTCTGGAGACTGAGGCAGGAGAATCACTTGAACCCGGGAGGCAGAGGCTGTGGTGAGCCGAGATTGCACCATTGCACTCCAGCCTGGGCAAGAGGAGTGAAACTCTGTATTTAAAAAAAAAAAAAAAGTTTAGGGTGATGAAAAAGCATCCTTAGGCATGGTTGTGGCTATCTTGGTCACTTGTGTGCCACTTGCCAATGCTAGGACATGTCATAAAAAAAGAAAGTTTGCTACATTAGTGTCAATATGCATTTTATGATTTACTATGCTTTTGTTTGACCTAAAATGATGAGAAGTATTTTTTAAAAGCAGTTCAGGGTTAGCGTGGATATAGGCACACAGGTATTGATATCAAATTTTGTTTTACTTAGGGGGAAAATGCATTTGCATAACAGGGATGAAAACTGTATATTAGGGCCCTGAAATTCCCATAGTGGAGTGCCAAAGGCCTGGAAGCTCTCTCAGCCCAGGGAGGCCCTCCCCACTTCCTAAGGAGCAAGAATATGCTTTCTTCTTTCCTAGTGGAGGGCAGGAAAAGCGAGGGGAGCGAGACATAGTGAGTGACTGTGGAAAGGTAGTGTATTGTGGCTAGAGGTAGGAGACCTGCCCTCAGATGCTGGCTTCAGCTGTCACAGGTGTTTTAGGGCCAGTCATTTCCTGTTTCCTTGTTTCTTCGTCTGTAAATGGAGATAAGGAAACCCATCCTAGCTCCTTTATACAGTGCTTGAAGAGTCACATGAGAAGACTTTTTTTTTTTTTTTGTAGAGACAGCATTACAGGCGTGAGCCACCACACCCAGCCCTTTTTTTGTTTGGTTGGGTTTTTTTTTGTTTTTGTTTTTTCTTTTTTTTTGAGAGGATAGTTCTGAAAGGACCTTGAAAGGACCTTGTAATGCTGGACAGTTGTAAAGTAATAACCTGGGGGCCTTTGGCCCTTCTCAGCTATGCCGTTGAACTCTTTCATCTACTGGTTTAGGATTTTCCCCGTAATTCCACTCACCAAACTGTGAGCCTTTTAGTCAAAATGGGGCAGGACCTTTTGGTCAAAAGGGGTAGAAACCCAACTCTTAGTGTTGGCAAAGGGACTGCCAACTTAGCTCTCAGAGCTGGAGGCACTGCCAAGGAGCCAGGCAGCTCTGGGAGCCTCCAGACTAGGTATGGGGACCGAAGATACCCAGATGCTGTCTCTGTCTCTCTTTTGTTTCTGCTGGTCTCCCCCAGGCTTCATTCCCTCCTGCCGAAAGCAGACCTTGGACATGCGGAGAGAAATGACTTCCAGCAGCAGGAGATCCACATCCTTCAAGGACATATGTCCTCTGTCTCCCTCCACTTGGGCAAATCTCAAGAAGGACTCCAATTGGCTTATATCAGATAGCCTCCCCCAGACCAGTTGCCCTGACCAATAGGATACTCCTTTTGGTCGGAATCTATTAGCAGAAGCCAGTGGAGCAGCCCCAAACACCAGCTATCTCGCCTAAAGCAGACCTGGCACTGGGCTAGGAATTGGAGACAAAAATGAGGAGGAGACAGCTCTTACCCTCGAGCAGCTCACGGTCTAGTGTGGGTGTGGGAAAGGGTGGCAGCCAGGTCATTGGAGTGGTGCAGGTACTGGAGAGATGGGGTCTGACAATGGGAGGGGTTGTTTTGGGGGATCAGGGACAAAGAAGCACCTGGCCTTCAGAAGGGAAGTGGTGCTTGAGCTCAGACTCAGAAGACCAGTGATTGTCCCTTTCCCTGGCTGAGATGGTGGGAAAGGCATTCCAGGCAGAGGGAACAGTTGAGCAAGGGTTGGGCAGCATGAGCTGGGCTGCAGTGTCCCAGATTCAAAGAGGAGCTTATTTCCAACAAAATGTCCAGACATGGAGAGACTTACTGTCAAGCTGAGGAAGCTGGTTTTACCCAGTGAGCAGTGGGGAGCCACTAGAGGGCTTATATGGAGCCTCTCACAGCATCTGTGTGAGGGCTAGATGTGAGAGGACCAGACTGGATGCCAGAAACTACGGGCCCCACAGCTGAAGCTGTGATCCAAACAGACACTGAGACCCTGAGCTAAGACAGGAGCAGGAAAGGAGAAGCTGCCTGGGTGGGAGGCAGAACTGAATCAGTAACTAGATGGCAGGGTGGGGCGGGAGGGCTGAAGGAGAGCGAGGTGACTCCCTGCCTGCTGGTGCCGGCATCTGGATGGACCGAGGCGGGTCCCAGTGGACTTGTCTGGAATGCAGATGCAGGGGAGTCTGGCATTACTCACACCACCACCCAGCCCCACCATCCTGATTGGCAGTACCCTCTGCTTCTCCTGGGACGCCACAGCTGGGAAACCCCACCTGGAAGAGGTGAAAGCTAGAACCCATCAGCAAGAACGAGTGGGTGACCATGGTGGCACGTGAGGGGTGGGCAAAGGAAGAGAAGTCTGTATGAAGACTCTTGGAAAAAGAATGGTCAGAAAGTAGGAGGAGAGCCAAGAGAGTGACATGCCAAAGAATGACCCCCAAGGGCAGGGGTCAGAACATGGCCTGCCGAGGGAGGGGCCACACTCCATATCCTCCTCAGAACAGTAATAGCAGGGCAGCAAGGAGTTAGTTTTGCTCGTTATCCTTTTAAATATACTTTGTTTTCTATTTTGTTCATTTTAAAAATAGATTTTTAAAAACATTTAGAACTAAAATCCTCAGGATTCTTAGAAGAATCTTCTGTGTCTGATAATAATTTGCCTGCCAAAATATTTTTGTAATATTCATTTTTGTTAAAAATCCAGAGATAATTTTTTTTTTTTTTTTTTTTTTTTTTGAGACGGAGTTTCGCTCTTGTTACCCAGGCTGGAGTGCAATGGCACGATCTCGGCTCACCGCAACCTCCGCCTCCTGGGTTCAGGCAATTCTTCTGCCTCAGCCTCCTGAGTAGCTGGGATTACAGGCACGTGCCACCATGCCCAGCTAATTTTTTGTATTTTTAGTAGAGACGGAGTTTCACCATGTTGACCAGGATGGTCTCGATCTCTTGACCTCGTGATCCACCCGCCTCGGCCTCCCAAAGAGCTGGGATTACAGGCTTGAGCCACCGCGCCCAGCGAAAAATCCTGAGATAATTAACTAAAAATTATCAACTCTGATCTTATGCAGTTAATTTTTTCAACGTTTGCCTTAAAATGACATCAGGCCTCATGGTATGGATGTTCCCGTAAACCGTGAAGGTGGTAGGGGCTCATTTTGATACCAGCCGTGTGCACTGCAGCCACTTGATATGGAGCAAGGCCCTGCCCCTTCCTTCTGAGGAGTTGCTTCAGGGCCCTGGAACACGCCCCAATGGGTCCTGCTGTGTCATGCCCAGAGGCGGGCTGCAGGCACGAAACAGCAGCAAGAGCAATTAGGACCAGATCCTAAGGAAGAACTGCCAGGTCCTGAGAGTGGGGCACGAGGCCGTGGGACCAGAGTCACCTCATTGCAGAGGCATCCTGCCTGGCCCCATGTGGGGTTTCCTGAATGTGATCCCCAGGAGAAGAAGGAGAAGGGACTGGCTCCCAGGATGGTGAGGCTGGAAGGTGCCATGAGGAATGACTAAAAAGCCGACTCTAGGGCAATGCACACCAGCAACCTGGGGCTCCTCCTGCCAAGCCTGGTCTGCGCCCTGGGTGTGGCCCATGGGTGTCCAGCGATATATCTAGGACCACGGGAAATTATAGAATGTTTTAGGGCAAAACCAGGGAGGAGTTGGGCTGGACTGTTGCCTCTGACCTTCCTCCATTGCCTCTGTCCTGATGTCCTTGCAGCCCCCCAACACCACTACTGTCGCCTTGCCCTTCACATAGCTCCTGGAAATAGGGAAGGGCCTCAGACACTTTGCACTCACCCAGAGATACCATCTCAGATCAGCACTTAAGAAGCAGGTCTCCAGGATGTGACCCGTCCAGCCTCAGACCCCTGCCCCTTCACTCTCCACACACCCTCCCCTCCTGCATTCTTTACAGTCATCAATATTAAGTGACCATTATCTCAGGGGGATCTCCACTACAGCCCATGTAGGAAGATATTATTATCCAGTTTCACAAATAAAGAAACTGAAGCTCAGATAGGTTAAGTAACTTGGCCAAAGTCACAAAGCACAGAACCGGCAAAGCCAGAAATGCAAAGTCAGCCAGCACCACTAAGCAGCAACCCCCTCCAACCCTACTCTCTGAGAGCCATTAGTCAAAAAGCACGATCTGGTTATTCCACAATTCTGGACACAATCTGTGTGTGAATTTGCATTTGATTTGCATAAGGATGTCACAATACCTAGATATCTTTCCTGCACTATCCCTCTCCCTGCCACCCGCCTCTCAACCAGGCTTTTCCTCCTTGAGATGCCTGGCAGGCTGGGGAGCACCATCTGGTCCCTTCCTCTGCCAAGGACGCCTTTGCTGGTTCAGAGCGTTCCCTCCCACCGGCCACTACCCAGTGCACTGAGTCAGGGTGCACATCTGAGGGGAACTGCCTGGAGGAGGAGCCAAGTGCCAGCAGCTCCATTTCCTCCTGCAGATCTCAGGGCAGGAGTGCAAGGGTGCAGAAATGGGCGAATGCAGGGAAGGTCCCTGGACCAAGCCACATCCTCTGTCTTCTGTCTTCAGCCCCAGATTTAGCTGCCTTCTTCCCTCCCACGCCTGCCCGCTGCTGTCTGGAATGCTGGGAGGCTGGGAGAACTAGAGGAAGACTGGATGGGGAGATGGAAGGGAGGGGACCTGGAGCTTAAGCTCTCAGTGGGAAGGAGGAGAGGAGGGTGCTGGCACCCTGGGCAGGGCATGGGTCTCATCCCCCCTCCTTTCTCTCTCAACCTGCAGTCTCCAAAACGGTAGACGCAGGCTCAATTTGCCTATTGAGCCATCAGATTTTGAAGACCTCATATGAAAACATATAGTATATAAAATGTCTTACTAATAATTTATATTGATTATATGTTTAAATGAACACTTTGTACATACTGGGCTAAATATAAAATTAATTTCACCTGTTTGTGTGTGTGTGCGTGTGTGTGTCTGTGTGTGTGTGTGTGTGACAGAGTCTTGCTGTATCACCCAGGCTGGAGTCTGATGCACTCCAAATTCGGCTCACTGCAACCTCTGCCTCCCAAGTTTAAGCAATTCTCATGCGGGGACTACAGGCACCTGCCACCATGCCCTGCTAATTTGTGCATTTTCAGTAGAGATGGAATTTCATCATGTTGGCCAGGCTGGTCTCAAACTCCTGAACTCAAGTGATCCACCTACCTTGGCCTCCCGAAGTGCTGGGGTTATAGGCGTGAGCCACCATGCCCAGTGTTATTTCTCTTTACTTTTTAAAATGTGAGCACTAAAGAAATTAAAATAACATATGTGACTTGCATTTTGGCTTGCATTATATTTCTGTTGGCCAGAGCTGTTCTCAGCCCCATCCTACGGATCAGGCAGTTACTGTTCTAGAAAATACTTAGTGCAGGGGCCTGTTTTGAGCTGAATGGCTCTTTATTATACCTCTGTCTTTTGGCAATATATACCCTCAGAGGGGTAGTCCAATGTAGGGTTCAGAGTATGAATTTGATAGATTGAATTTAAACCCACCTTTGATATTTCTAAGCTGTGTGACATTGAGCAAATCAATTAGCCTCTCTGTGCTTCAGTTTCCCAGCAGAAAAATGGGAATAATACAAGCTGCTATCTGAAAAAGGCTTTTGTGAGGACACAGGAATTAATAGGCATAAAGAACTAAAAAGATTGTCTGGCACAGAGCAATTACTGTAATTGCTGTAGAGCTATTATCTAAAATTTTGGGCTGCTCCTTGGTACAATTCCATGTGTAAGATAATATATTGTGCCCTTTGGATGCATTATTTTATCCACTCTTCCAAATAATCCTACTGGAACTGACCTTCATTTCTCAGAGGCAGCATCTGAAATTCAGAGATTCAGTAACTTTCCCAAGGCCACACAGATAACCAATGGATGTGTACTTGGGTCTGCTTTACTCCAGGGACTGATCCTTAAGCACTATTCTGCACCACCTCTCTTAGTCAATGCCCACCAAGACCCTCCAAAGTAACACCTCTACCCTCTTCCTTTTGCTCCAGATCTCTGCCTGTATCAAGGGTCTGCCAGTCTGAGAAGCTTCTTGTCATAAGGGCATCCAGGGGCCACCTGCCCCTACGGCACCAGCCCCCAGCATGCAGGATACTGTAACAACATCAGCGTTGTTGGACCCCAGCCACTCCTCAGTCTCCACCCAGGACAAGTCCTCCACTGGAGGCCACACTTCAAGCACAGGCCCACAGCCCTCAAAGCCTTCTTCAATCACACCAGTGCCTGCAAAGTCCAGGAACCCAAATTCTGGGGCCAATTTCCATCGGATGCGCCGAATCATTGCTGAGGATCCTGAGTGGTCACTGGCCATTGTGCCCCTCCTCACAGAGCTCTGCATTCAGCACATCATCAAGAACTTCCAGAGTGAGTCTGTCCCTGTTTTGGGTGGGAAGAAGGCCAGGAGTGGGGCAAAGTGGGTAGGGACTATCTAGAGCCAAGACTGCAGAAGCTGGGTCCCAGGGCAGCCCCTGCTTTCCCACGTGGCATCCTCATACCCCCTCAACACTTCCCTTCCACCCCAGGGCCAAGACAGTTTCTCCTGCTGTTCCCACTGGCAGGTCCCACCAGACTCCCTCCCACACTGCACCCTCTTGCCTTTTCCACTCTCTCCAGCAAAAACCAGTCTGAGCCATGTCTACTTCCTTCTCCAGAAAGCCCTCCCAAGTGAACTGCCCCCTACTTTGATGGAGTCTTCCATGCCATGTAAAGGCTCTTGGTTTGTTCTATATTTTGTGCTCTATGATATAGATCCTTTCCAAAGATGGGTTTCCAGCCTCTCCTACCAGATGGGGAGCTCTCTGAGGGCAGGGCCATCATTTCATCTATAGTAACTATCGTCACCCAGTCTCATTCATTTTGTTTATTGTCAGCCTCCCCTTACTAGAATTTAAACTCCAAAAGGGATGAGCCCTGTTTTGCTTGCTTTTATGTCTCCAGCAGGTGGGACATAGTAGTCTCTCACAGTGGTACCTTCAGTGTCTAGCACATAGTGGGTGCTCAAAAAATTTCTTGTTTCGACATGAATGAATAAAATCAGATTGGAAGCCTCTGACCTCAGGGATTGTATCCCCCACCAGACCAGGTGATAATTGAGAGTTGAACCTGAGAGTCTGTCTTAGTCCGGGAGCTCCCTGAGAACAGATGCTGAGATGTCCACCTTCATGTAGGGAGCATCCCAAAGCTAAAGCCTGGGTCTCCCCATCTAATAGAGCCTCCCAGAGAGCAGAGGCTGTCTCTTCCCCAGGGAAGGGTCTTCCCTTTGCCCAGTGCCATGAGGCAGGCCTAGCCTGAGGCATCATGGTGAAGTGTCCCCCAATACTGTGACCCCCTGCTTTCCTTCCTCTGTTCCCATAGGAAACCCTATCCTGAAGCAGCTGCTCCCAGAACACCAGCAGAAGGTCCTGAACCACCTGTCCCCTGACCTACCACTGACTGTGACCGCCAACCTGATAGACGATGAGAACTACTGGCTCCGCTGCTGCATGCAGCGCTGGCCCGTGTGCCACGTGGCCGAGCATGGCGGCAGCTGGAAGCGCATGTTCTTCGAGCGGCACCTGGAGAACCTGCTAAAGCACTTTATCCCAGGCACCACGGACCCTGCGGTGATCCTCGACCTGTTGCCACTCTGCAGGAATTACGTGCGCAGGGTCCACGTCGATCAGTTCCTTCCGCCGGTGCGGCTCCCAGCCCAGCCCCAGGCCGGGGACCAGTCGGACTCCGGCAGTGAGGGAGAAATGGAGGAGCCCGCTGTGGACCACTACCAACTGGGCGATCTGGTAGCTGGCCTGAGCCACCTGGAGGAGCTGGACCTGGCGTATGGTGTCAAAGACTGCGGCATGAACTTCGAGTGGAATCTCTTCCTCTTCACCTACCGCGACTGCCACTCCTTGGCAGCCACCATCAAGGCGTGCCACACCCTCAAGGTACTGTCTGCCCCCAGCCTTCCCCCCCACCCCTTTCACCATCTCTCAGATTCCCTCTCCCCATCTCTCAGATTCCCTCTCCCCTCATCTTCCTCCTCCATTATTCCCGTTTTCCCATTTCCTTCTCTTTCATTGGCCAAGTGTTTTTTAATGCTCCCTGCGCCAAGCTACACGGTTCTGGGTGTGCAGAAATGAACAAGGCACTGCCCTCCCAGTTCACCAGTTTGTTTCATTGAGCAAACATCTGCTCTCCAGGCCCTGTCCTAGGTGCTGAAAATGCAACGATGAGCAAGATCGTTCCCTCTGTAGCTAACAGTCTGATGGGATAAAGGCACTAATCAACAATCATATAAACATAAAATTGAAACTAGAATAGGGTTACCATATTTAGCAAAGAGAAATACAGGACATCCAGTTAAATGTGAATTTCAGGTCCAGGCATAGTGACTCACTCTGTAGTCTCCCAGCAACTGAGGAGGCTGAGGTGGGAGAATCCCTTGAGCCTAGGAGTTCAAGCCTGCAGTGAGCTTCAATCACCACGGCACTCCAGCCTGGGTTACAAAATAAGACCCTGTCTCCAAAAAATATTTGAATTTCAGATAAACAAAAAATAATTTTTAGTATAAGTATGTCCTGAATATTTCATGGGGCATTCTTATTTATCTGAAATTTATATTTAACTGGGAATCATGTATTTTTTTCTGGTACCCCTGTATTGGAATGAATGTTATAAAGAAGAGATACTTTTTTGGTTTTTTTTTCTTTTGAGGCGTAGTCTCGCACGGTTACCCAGCCTGGAGTGCAATGGCACTATCTTAGCTTACTGCAAGCTCCGCCTCATTCAAACTATTCTCCTGCCTCAGCCTCCCGAGTTGTTGTGATTACAGGCGCCCACCAACACACCCAGCTAATTTTTGTATTTTTAGTAGAGATGGGGCTTCACCGTGTTGGCCAGGCTTGTCTCGAACTCCTTACTTTGTGATCCACCTGCCTCAGCCTCCCAAAAGTGCTGAGATTACAGTTGTGAGCCACCGTGCCAGAAACGGTACTCTTATGAGAGACTATAAAGGAGGGTTTGACCTTGCAAGGGAAGGGGGTCCCTGAACAAACGTCACTTACATAGAGATTAGAAGGAGGGGTAGGAGTTGTAGTCCTAAGAGGGAGGAACGCTCCAGGCAGAGGGAGCAGTGCCTAAGGCTCTATGGGCAGAGCGAACATGGCCAGCTTTAGGGACTGAAAGAGAAGACTGTGTGGCTGGAGCAGAGTGTGAGGAAGCAGGGTGGGATGAAAACAGAGAGGCAATCAGTGATCAGCCTTGCTGGGCAAAGGAGGCCTTGTTCAAGAGGCTGTCTTTTTATCCTCAGGAGCTCTGGGACACCACCCAAGGGTTTTAGGCAAAAAAAAAGTAGGTACCATTACTGGATTTCACATATGAAAAGGTCACTGCGTCTATGAGGGAGAATGGCCTGGGCAGGGCAGCCGTGGACATGCAGATCACCTAGGAGATCATTGCCAGATTGCCAAATCCAGGTGAGAGTGAGAGTCATTTCAGCAAGGGCAGTGTCTGTGGAGACTCAGAGGAGTGGAGAGAGTCAAGACATATTTAGGCAGACGTATGTCTACCATGCACCTGACCACACTGGCATGGGGAGAATCTGAAGGAAAAGGAAGGAGAAGGAGGTGAGGTGCAAGACATCTGGCTTATGAGACTGGCTGGCTGGAGGGGCCATTTGCAGAAACCAGGAATGTGGGAAGAGGATCAGTTTTGAGGAGGAAGAGTGCGTGTTTCAGTTTGAGTCATCTCAAAGAAAGGGTCATTTCATTAGTTAGGTAGAGGGTCCAAAGCTCAGACAAGAGGTCTGAATTGAATGTGGAAATGTGTGCTGGCTTCGTGAAGGTGGCAGTTGCAGCCCTGGATTTGGATGGAGTTTCATAGGGGAGAGCCAAAAGTGAGACAAGAAGAGGCCTGACATGTGGTCTTAGTGGAAAAAGAAGAGCTTGCCAGGAAGCCAGAGGGAGGAGGAAATGGGGGACATGGCATTGTGTCACAGAGCAAGGGAGGGGTATGTTTCAAGTAGAGAGAGTGAGCAGTGGGGTGGAATGGAGCTGAGGACTGGATTTAGTGAACATGGAGGTCACTGAGGAGGAGTTATTTTAGTGGAGCGGCAGGAGCAGAGGCCAGATAGCAGTGGTTTCTGGGGAGAGTGGGAAGTGAGGAATGGGTGGTTGTGATCAGCTTTTTCAAGAACTTGGCTGTGAAGGGGGAAAGGTACAGCCATTAACAGATGAGAACTTTGGGTTCCTTCAGAATAACTCACATATGTATAAAACCAATGTAAGGCTCCATCCAGTTGCAAGAAAGGGGATGAATGCAGAAGAGAGGCACGGGTTCATAGACCAGTGGGTCAGTGCTTTGGTATCAGGAAAATTACAGGTTCCCATTCAATGGCTGGGAAGGCAAGAGGAGAGGTCACCTGCTGAAAGAGAGGGCTCAGCAGGGAGGCTCCTGAATTCTGAGGAGGCTGCAAAAACCTAAAATAGTTGTAGATTATACGGGAGTATTTTGGCCAGAGAAATATAGTTAGATTGGCGTGCAGGCCTATCAGTGGTTCCAGTGATAGCCATCAGTCCCATCAGCTGATGTTTTCTATTTTGTCAGTTGCTTGCGCACAGGCATGCAGAAAATAGAGAGTGGGGCTGATCCAGGGTTAAGGCTTTGCCAGATAGATGCCATGAAAAGAGAAGAGACACAAAAGACTAGGCTGGCTAAGAGGGGTATAAAAAAGGAGTGAACTGAAGGGGAGGGAGGAGGGGCCAGACACTCAGAGGTCTCAAGGGAGAGAGAGAAGCCGGGACAAGTCAGTGGGAAGGTGAGGGAGAGAGACTCCCATGGACAATATTCATATGGCCAGCCCCATCCCTTTCCTGCATTCCTTTATCCAACCCTTTTCCTGCTTCTCCCCTCCCTACTTTTTCCCTGGTTCTTACTTTGGCAACCTCCTTCAAAGGGGTCCTCTCCTTGCCCTGGTGGGTCTTGGCTGGCAAAGGAGGATGCAGTGAGGGGTGGAGGCCTCAGGCAGACCTGGATTCCAAACCTGTCTCCACCGCTTCAATCACTGTATTATCTGGGAAAATAATGTAAGCCTCCATTTTCTGTCTGTAAAATGGAGAGAACTTTCTCTTCTTCATTGAGATGTTAGATGGTTAGAGATAATGGTTATGAAAGATCCAAGCAGCATATCCAGCATGTAGTAGCTGCTCAATAAACAGTGGTCTTTCCTCCCTGCTACCTGCCACCAATTCTACACTATCTGCCATGCAGATAGGCCAGGCCCCCTCCAACACTCAGCCAGGTGACCAACACTAGGTGAGCAGAGCTTGCCAAAGACCTGGATGGGAGGGCTGATTACCCCTGGCTGGCAGGTGCTGTAGACCCTCTGCCTGCCCACAGATCTTCAAGCTGACCCAAAGCAAAGTGGACGATGAGAAGGCACGCATCATAATTCGAAGCCTTCTGGACCACCCAGTCCTCGAGGAGCTGGATCTGTCACACAACCTCATCGGGGACCGTGGTGCACGAGGTGCCGCCAAGCTGCTGAACCACAGCCGCCTGCGTGTGCTCAACCTGGCCAACAACCAGGTGCGTGGGCCAGGTGCCCAGTCCCTGGCTCATGCTCTGGCACACAACACCAACCTCGTTTCCCTCAACCTACGCCTCAACTGCATTGAGGATGAGGGTGGCCAGGCTCTTGCCCATGCCTTGCAGACCAACAAGTGCCTCACCACGCTGCACCTCGGTGGCAATGAGCTGTCTGAGCCCACCGCCACCCTCCTGTCCCAGGTGCTCGCCATCAACACCACACTCACCAGCATCAACCTGTCCTGCAACCACATTGGGCTGGTGAGTCACCTATTCTGGGCCTGTGAGGGTAGGTGTGGGATCCAGCTGCCAGGGGTACGTGTGGGGTAATTGTGAAGAACACAGACTTTATGTACTACAGACTGCATCCGGTATGCACACATACCAGGTATCTCAGTGTTTATTATTTTTCCCTTAATCTTTATGGTTACCTAAGTAACTGTATATAACCCTAAGCATATTTAACCCTAATTAAGTTTAAGTATATTTAACCCTACTTTCTAGATGGAAAACAGCCTCAGAGAGGATGGTGAATTGCCCAAGGGCATCAAGTTAGTAGAAAGTGGCAAGGCTGTGATTCAAATCCAAGATTGATTGATAGCCTGAGTTCTTTCTAATTGACTATGTCTCTCAAATTTTCTTAACCAAGTCTGAGAGTAAGAAATGCACTTGATTGGGTGCAGTGGCTCATGCCCGTAATCTCAGCACTTTGGGAGGCCGAGGTGGGTGGATCACCTGAGGCCAGGAGTTTGAGACCAGCCTGGCCAAGATGGCAAATCCCTTTCTCTATTAAAAATACAATAATCAGCCAGGTGTGGTGGCATGAGCCTGTAACCCCAGCTACTCAAGAGGCTGAGGCAAGAGAATCACTTGAACCCAGGAGGCAGAGGTTGCAGTGAGCCAAGATCACACCACTGCACTCCAGCCTGGGTGACAGTGCAAGACTCTGTCTCAAAAGAAAAGAAAAAAGAAAGAAAGAAAGAAATGCAATTTACAGGGACACAGACATAAATATTGAAATTTACTCTTTGTGATATATACTGATATTTTCCTTTACATTCTACTCTATTTTATTTTTTAAAATGCTTCTATGACCCATTGAATTGACTTTGCAACACACTGCTGAGTCACAATCTTAGAAAGGTAGCATTCTGCCTCCCAACATGAAGTTCTTTCACAATGAGGCTGGCCCACCCAACCCAGCAGGGGCTGGAGCTGTGATGACCATTGACTGGGGCCCTCCATTAGGTCACTGAATGCTCTACTAAACCTCCCCATGAGGACAACCTTGCTCACCTACACAGGCACATACATCCACACACACACACACGTGTGCGCGCGCACACACACACACACACACACACAGTTTCTAGAGAGGGTGCTGTTGACTACAAGTAATAAAAAGCTTAACTAGAAATGGATTAAGCAAGAGGAACATTCAGTGTCTCCCACAACCAGAATTAAGGGGTTCTAGGGTTGGTAAACCCCTGGGTTCATTGTCACCCTCTGCTCTGCCCACCCCAGCCTTGTGCCCAAGGCCTTCTCTAGTGCTTCTCTCATTCTCAAGATGGCTGCCTCTGACATAGGAGACATGCTCAGAGGCAGAAAAAGGGTGAACACCTGCTCTCTTTTGTTCTCTTTTTGGAGTGAGGAGAACCTTCCCAGAAGCCGCCCCCTCTCAGCTTCCCCCTCACATCTCATTAGATTTGCCCCACATGCCCATGGCTGAACCAAAGGAATGGAATTATCATCATTGCTGGAGATTCATGTTTTTCAAACTAGTAGTGTTCAGAAATCAATTTAGTGGGTCTTGGCTACCATTTTTCAAATGAAAAAGAATAGAATATGTCAACATGTGTCACAAATAGGTTAAGTATTGTTTTGTGAAACTTTTGTTTTAGTCACATCTACATGAAAATGCGTAGCATGTGCGTGAGATCCTGGGTAGTGATGTAAACGCCCCTTCTTTGGCACCCTTCTCCCAGGACGGTGGGAAGCAGCTCCTGGAAGGCATGTCAGACAACAAGACCCTTCTGGAGTTTGACTTGCGCCTGTCAGATGTGGCACAGGAGAGCGAGTACCTCATTGGCCAGGCCCTCTATGCCAATCGAGAAGCAGCCCGCCAGCGGGCCTTGAATCCCAGCCACTTCATGTCAACCATCACTGCCAGTGGCCCTGAGAACTCTGTGGGATAAAATGACCTGACTTGGGTCATGGCCCCAGCCCCATCTCTCATTTCATACCCCTACCATGCCTGTTAGAGAGGTACTTGTTCAGACGGAGTGGAGAGGGGGACCGTGAATATCCTTGGAGTGATCGAGGGTTGTATGGAGATGTGAGGCAGGGAAGGGAGCCTGGGACGGGGATAAAAGGGGTATGCAGTAAGGACCCAGTCCCTGTGTCCAGGGAGAAAATATTACTGGACCCCCACACATGATCAACTTCTTCCAGGTATAGGAAAGTCAGAGAGGTGTCTGAGGGACTATGCCTGCCAGATTCTCCCACGGGGCTGCCTGCCTCCCTGCCTCCCCTCTCCACCATTTTCTTCTCTACCAAACAGATCCATGGTCTTCAAACACACACACACACACACACACACACACACACACACACACACACACCCTCTGGCTACAGCAAAGCTATCCCTGGCTCTCTCTGCCACCCTTACCCCTGCAGATGAATCTCCCTGTTGCTTGACTCTGCTTTAAGTGATCCAGTTCTATAGGCCATGCCATCCCCTTGTTCCTCAATCCCCAACCTGGGAAGGGGACAACGAGCTGACCCCAGGGGCTGAGACCCAGTGGCCTCTTCTGGGGAGGCAGCTATAGATGACTGCTAGGGGAGGATGACACGATCCCTGCCATCCACCCCAGAGAGTTTTCCCAGGAGGGAGGAGGTAGCAAAAGAAGTGCCACACTGAGACAGGAAGTCAGTGAGTTATCCACAACTTTATTATCCACCAGTTTGATTTGTACAATCTTTGCGCTTAAATCCACGACAAAAAGGCCACAGTGTGATGCACCCAATTGACAGAGACCTGTCTTCTCCCCAGCCAGGCCCAGCCCACCCCACAAGCCCTTGTCCCCAGGACACATGGAGCCTTCCAGGTGCCCTCCATGAGCCCCCATCACTCTGTAGCTGCCCACCCTGGGGCCACACCTACAGGAATCACATCAGCCCCCAGGGCCACAAGATACCTAGCTGACTAACTGATTCAGGCTGAGCGCCATTCCCCATCCTCCTTAGGCTGACTGATTGGCCCAGAGCCTCCAGACCCATGTCCCTAAAGGGCAGGTCACGGGCTACAACCCCAGTACAGGAGTGCCTGCTCTCCAAGGACTCCTAAGCAGGCGCTGAGCAGAGCACCAAATGGGGCTTGGGAGTGACTGCATGTGTGCGCCTGTCCGGGCAACCTAGAGTCTGTCTGTGCCTGACACCCTCTGACAGTTCTGGAGTGCAAACGTGTAGGTGTGAGGGTGTGTGTGTGTGTGTGTGTGTGTGTATGTGTGTGTGTATAGCCACAGCTGCTAGCAAAGGTTCTAATTAGAGAAACAAGAACATTCAGTGTAAAGTTTAATTTTAGAGATTAATTAATTTTCTGGTTTTCATTTTCCCTGGCAATCAATAAAACCACCAAGAAAATAGACCAAAGAATTGGTTTCTCTCTAAGTCTGTGCATGTGTGGGAGGTGAGGCTGTCTGTGTGAGACAACCCAGGCAGAGATGGTCAATACAGGCAAAAATAATAATAGAGGTCCCCCTTCCCCTCTTCGGAGACCCGGCTCCATCTCATGAACAGGCCTGAGGGAGGAGGAGCCACGTTCCTCCCTCCTTGGAGCCCTGAGGTGGCCAGGCTGTCCCCACACAGAGCATGACATCCAGGTGCCAGCTGGCTTAAGAATTGGAACCTGAGGCAGCAGCTCACCACCTGTACCTCACAGATGTCCATTCAAAGAGGGGTGCTCCAAACACCAGCACCCCAAGGAGCACAGACTTAGGGTCCAGGCAGGTTCAGTGCTTGTAGGCAGGTGGGCACTGCTGTCCAGGAAAGTCTGGTGGGCAGCTGTTTGCCCCACCCAAGCCTCCCTCTGTCTAGCCTCTCTTCTCCCTCCTCACTCAGCCATCTCTACCTGAAAGTAAAGCTAAACCCTTTAGAAGCCACAGGCCGTGGTATCCCCCAGTTTGAGCCCCTCGCATTCTCCCCTAGGAAGAAGGGAAGGGGAGCCAGAGGCGATGTTGCATAGGTGGAGGCCACACGGTTGGTTGTGCAGGCCTGGCTGGGCTGGAGGAAGATGAGAGGGGCTGAAGGACGGAAGGAGGAGTTCTGATGGCTCAGGTGAAGTAAGAAGCATCAGGGGTGAGAGATGCGGGTGGCCCAAGGGTTATCCTCTCTACCCTGAAATGTAAGCTCAATCCCTGGGCACTAAATCTGCTGGGGAAACGTTAGCCAGGGGAGTCGGGAGGGCAGGAGGGCTGTTCACAGACATGCACACTGAAGCACATCAGGGAGGAGGTGGCAGGGGGAGCACAGGGAGAGAAGGCGGTGTCAGAGCTTTGGGGGAACAGGATGTGGGGCCAGCGCCCTGGGGTGGTGGCAGGATGCCCCTTCGAAGACCCTGGGACACACAGCAGGGCTTCGGCTCATAGGATAGGAGAGGATGGAAGGGTCGGGCAAGATGTAGAGAATTCTTGCCTCTGATCCTGCCACTGGAATTGAGTTATTTCTCCAGCTGGGGCTTGTGACAATGTCCTCAACCCCCCAGAGATGTGTTTGAGGAACAAGCACACTCCGCTCCTCCCCACAAGTTTAGGGAAGCGAGGGCTGCCTCCAAAGGCAAACCCCACCTTCAGAGGTCCTTCTCCTCTACCTCTCTCACTCCCACCTGCTTCCAGAGGTCCCCGTTGTCACCCAGGTCTGTGCCATGCTTTCTCCCCTTAGTCACTGGCCCTGGCCAGCTTTAAACAGTGCCGCCCAGGTGGCGTCTCACACTCTCTAAAGGGAGCACACACCCAGAACCCAGGTGAGGAGGCTGCCGCGGGAGGCTGCGGAGTTTAGAAAAGGACTGAGGTACACAGCCCTCCACACTTCACTCCCCGCCCCGCTGCACCCTGGCAACGGCTCTGCAGGGCTAGGAGGCTGGAGGTGAGTGACGTCTGTGCGGTGAGCACAGTCTCTCTGCACCCAGAGTGGGGGCCCAGTTAGACAAACAACAGCGGAGGAAGCGGCAGAAAGGAAACCCCAATCTCTGGGGTCAGCGCCAAGAAGAGGGCAGAAATATTTCCACGGTGTTGGATGGAGGCTTGGGGCTGACACCTGGCTCCAGCCTCAGACCTACTGAATGCATTAGCTAGCTGGAACCCAGCCTGCTGGTCACCAAACCACCGCCCCCTCCACAGAGAGAGGCCCCAGGGGATTGAGGCCTTGGAGAAAGGAAACCCCCAAGTTTCCTTCTCCACAGCCTCTAAATCTCCCAGCGGCATGCCAGGGCCTCTCCCTTCAGACCAGGCCCAGCGTGGGGCCCACAGCACGGCTGCCAGCTAACAGAAGATCTGCTGAAGGGCTGGACCGGAGGGAGGTGTCCCCTTAGGAACTCAGGGATGGGGCTGGAAGAGAGACTTTGCCGGGGGGATCTCGGGGAGCAGCCGACCCCCTCCCGACAATCGATCAGGGAGGGCGGGGGTCTCGGCCCCATCAGGGTCTGTCTTGCGGCCCTCACCTTCCTTTCCCTCCCCGCCGCGCGGCCTCAGTCGCCGTGGTGACTCGCCCTGCGCCGCTCAGGGAGCACAGTCCGGCGAGGGGCAGGCGGGAGGATGGCGCGGGCCGCTCCGTGGCCGGAGGTCACAGTGAGGTCTCTACGCAGGAGCCGTGGCGGTGCAGCGGCCGGTGGCTGTGGCCCAGACACCCCTCCTGCCGGTGGACGATGAGGACCGGGAAGTAGAGGGCGTCGTGGTAGGGCGGCGGCGGCCCGGCCTCCTCCTCCTCGTCGTCCTCGTCGTCGCCCATGCTGGCCTGGCTGGACAGCCGCGTCTGCTCCGTGGGGCAGCTGGCCTCGTTGACGCTCCCGCTGCGGCTGCGCCACAGGCAGCTGCGCCGGGAGCCGTAGAGGCGGCCGAGCGAGAAGCGGCTACCCCCGCAGCCCGCGCCCCCGCCAGGCCCCGGGCCGGCCCGCGGGCTGGCGCAGATGCTCAGGGCGCTGCGCGAGAAGATGGACGAGCTGCTGACGGCGCGCTGGCAGTGCTCGCAGCTGCGCCGGTAGGGAGCCACGCCCGCCGCGCCCGGGCCGCCCACCCCGCCGTAGCGGCACGAGGGCGCGTAGCCGCCGCCCGCCCCGCCACAGCGCGCCCCCAGCCCCGCCAGGTCCATGAGCACCGCCTCCGAGTAGCTGGGCACCAGCTGCTGGTTGGAGCGGATGTGCCACTCGAGCTCCGTGCTGTCCACGGTGTTGACCCGCGGCAGGCGGTGGGTGAGCGGGGGCAGCAGCTCGTCGCTGGGGCTGAGGCCACCGCCCGCGCTGCTGGCCGAGCCTGGGCCCTCCAGGCCGAAGAGCTTCTCCACGTGGTAGTGCGCATAGGCCGTGCGGTACTCGGACAGCACGCGCAGCGGCCACGACAACGTGAGCAGCGCCGCGGCCCAGAAGGCCGACGAGCAGGCATACCAGGGCGGCCGGGCCGGGTCCGGGAAGGCCACCATGAACTCACGGAAGTCCACGTTCTTGAGGTGCATGCCCTCGCGTGCCTCCATGTAGTCGTCCAGGCCCTCGTTCTCGGCGAAGAAGCGTGCGCGCTGGCACAGGTACGCGTTCTCGGCCTCCACGCTGGCGAAACTGAAGCACTTGGTGAAGCGCAGCCGCGTGGCCGGCGCACCCTCCAGCCCCACTAGCGTCTTGGACACGTCGCGGACACCGCAGCGCGCATAGTCAAACTCGGCCTCTGCCACGTGCGTGTTGACGCGTTCGTGGTAAACCTGCGGGGCATGGGGGTGGGGGCAGGCGATGGGGTCGTAGGGAGCCCATCCGCGGTGCCCATTTCTGCCCACTCACCCTTGCCCGCCCCATAGTTGCTCTGGTTGCCTGGTCGGACCCTAAGCCTGTCTTGGTTTAGGTGCCCGTTGGGTTGGACAGGATCTTTCCATCTGACTTACAGAGCAACTGACGCCCTTTGCGTAATCATATGTGAGGCCCGGACTAGAAGCAGCCCTACCTGTGCGCATT